TACCCCTATTTGCAGGAAAAGGACAAAACACAACCGACAAGAGTCCACGTGTTAAACCACAACGCAAGGACGTACCTGTTGTTGCTGACGATCTGACTGCTGCAAGTTCAGCGCAAAAACGCATGTTCGCACTGGTAAGCCCGGTACGCTGCAGCCTGGGTTGTTCTAGGCATGAATTTCTTTTTTATAGTAGCCGATGCACTGGATTTTCAAAAATATTATAATGTGTATATTTATTTTCTAACTTCTACACTAAAAATGGTAGTAAACTTTATTTTTTAACTTGCGTCATTCTCCTGCCTACTTATTTGGTCTTATTTTTAACAGTTTATAGATTTTCATGCATAGCGGACCTCAGTTTCGTTTTTTTTTTTTTTTACAGCATGAAGAAGCGTACCACCATTCACATGCTTATTGCAGCTGTACATCGAGATGCTTCTTTGTTTTGCCTTCTTTTTTTTTATTCAATTTCAGTAGTTCGCTTTGCCATGTTAATTTTCGTTAATTACATCTCATATTGAAGCAGCGATCATCTCATCCTGCTCATATTTTAATCGAGTTTCAACGCATTTTCCCGGATTCGAACCTTATTTGTTTATTCATTGTCTCTGCAAAATTTCCCATTAAAAATTTCATGTAGCGAAACACGAGACGCAGAGTACGTGATAGCTGAATGTCTGAAACCTTGGACAGTGAACATCGTTCCAAAATTTCAGCCTCCTAGTTCTCAGGCTTCCGAGTAATTTTCGTGCCAAAAAATAGTGTGCCAAGCCTTCGCGAAGAACGCACATTCTCATACCCAGAATGGCTTGGGGTTGTGTTTCGCTGTAGAAATACCGTTTCAGGCGGCTTCGCTTTGTGGCTTTCTTTGCCCGTGTATGTGATCCCTTTTTTTTATTGGTACCAATTTTTATACGTTTTATGCTGTGTAACAGCATTACAAAACGCATATCGTCACGGGGTTGTCTGTGTGTGTGTGTGTGTTTCCCACATTTTGTCCTGCACTTTCAACTCGGGAACCACAAAAGCCAGGCGGCTGAAATTTTGGTACAGCGTTCCCCGCCAGCGGGCGACATGGCAAAATTCAGCCTTCCCGTACCCGCGGGTAACACGTACTGCCCCGTGAAAGTTTTTCATGAGTAAATTAATATCTCGAGAACCACGGAGTCTAGGGGACTGAAATTTTAGAGTAATAACCACTTGCCCACGCTCAGCCTTACCTACTCAAACTCAGCGTTCCCGCGCTCTCGGGTATCTCCTACGGGCTAGTGAAAGTTTTCACGGGTAAATTATCATCTCGGGAACCACGGGGTCCAGGAAGCTGAAATTTCAGGACAGTGGCCCCCTGCCCATGCTCGACCTTCCCCTATTCAAATTTAGCGTTCCCGCGCTCTTGAGTATCACCTACGACCTCGTGAAAATTTTGGCGAGTAAACTATTAACTCGGGAATCACGGAAAGATATTCACCCTTCAAGGTTTCGAATTCAGCTTTCATGCGCAGGTGCGTGAAATTTTTAAATGTTTTCCAATGTTTGAACTATTTTTGCATAGACTGAAGTACGAAGCAGTGAAAATCATTAACAGGGGAAATTTTTAACTGTTTTCCAATGTTTGAATTATTTTTACATAAACTGAAGTACAAAGCAGTGAAAATCATTGATAGGCAATCGTTCGTTGGGCTGGATTGCACAAAACGCATGGTCGCACTGGCTAGTCTGGCGCGCGTTGCTATTTATTTTGGAATAATCCTTAGGCTTGACCGCGTTCCCTGGCGAATTTTTGCATCCCTCTGGCCAGTTTTGCGAAGTTTTCAGAAATATGTACTTTTTCCAGCTTCATGAAATACACAAAAAATATGAATTTATATTTATTTGTTTGCATATTTTCTCTAATTTAAAATTTATTATCCATAAATTAAAATATTTTGCAGGTATTGCTTTCCGTTTATTGATTATTTACTATTTAGTTTGGTGGGAACGTATTGGTGAAATATGGAAAATGCAAATATATGCATATACGTGTATGTATATATACAACTATACATATGTATATATACATATTATATATATTATATATATATATATATATATACATGATTCAAAATTTTTATCTGTGGACGTCTTCTGCTGGATGATGTAATCATTGTAAACAGTGGAATAGATGGCCGCCGAGAAAGCTGCAGCCATGAGAATTTTGATGTACGGAGTATTAACAGACCAGAAAACACACAATCATTGAATGCCTCGTTGTGCTTCTGGCATTAATCTGCAATTTCTTTTGGCACTCTTATAAATCTTTTCTCACTGCCGTTATTACGGAAGTGCTGAATTTTCCACAGAAAGTGCATCCTAATAGAAAGGTAGAAATTACTGATCAGGTCCAATTGTGGTAACGGTAAGAAATGTATACGACTTAATGGATCGAAACATTTCTTCACCTAATATTTCCATACTTCCATTTCCTTTTTCTGCTTCGTTTTCCTCCCCTTCATTTTTTTTTCTTACTTTATTATTTTCTCTTTATCCTTAATTAGTAAAATTAGTGGGCGAGAAAGCCATAGCCAATGAGTAAAATTAGCAAATTTAATTAAAAAATTTGTAAAATTAGTGAAATCATTTTAACATAATTATTATAACGATAAGGAATGTTTCGATCCATTAAGTGTTTTGGATGCTGTCAGTCAAACTTGCGCCTTTCAGTCACTTGTTCGTGGTTCGATTTTTTTAATATGCAAGGTTTTTTCCTTGATTTTTCGCGTACAGCCTAACATTTTCGCACCAATCCTGCTGCTGTTTTATAATAATTTTTGCACTGATCAACTCCAGCGATTTTGTTTCCTTTCTTATTACGCTTATTTGCACCTTTTTCAAGAGGTGAAACGTACGACGAGCATCTTTGCGACTGTGCAGAGATCATTATGTGGAACGTATGCAAGAGAAATAGAATTTGCCATTCCTTTCTCAATGGTAGGCATAAAAAACTTTCCAAAACGGAAATCTTGTTTTTTTGGGGGAGGAAATTCGAGAATGTACACTTAAATCAATTGTTTTGGAATTTCGCGTGCCAAGATTTCCAAATTATCTAAAATGGTTTTTGAATTATCTAAAAATTTCAAAATTTCAAAATTATCTAAATTGGTTTTTGAATTTTCTAAAAATTTCAAAATTATCTAAAAAAACTTCTTCTTTCAACAGAGATAATGTTCACAGAACATATGACCGAGGGGACAACAGCGGAAACATTCTTTGTTTTTTTTTTTTTTTGCATTTTTTTTTTTGGCTATAAACGAATACATAATCTGTGGGCAGGGAAATGTCGCAATTATTTTTATTGATCTTGCGATGGATTTTACAACATCGTACCTTCCTTTTTATTAAAAAAAGCCATTTTTACATAAAATGCATTAAAATGTTGTTTTTCTTCATCAGATAAAACTGTGTTGATGGCGATCGCTAAATCATCTTTTGATTCATTCATGCTCCCTTAAACGATTTTTTGTTCTAGGCGCAATACAGTCGTGGTCGTTGGGATAGCAGTAGAAGTGGTCAGGCCGAGTTGACTGCCATATCGACCGA